ACCCTACCTTTTAGCGTAAGGTACGCGAGAAAAGATTTCCGCCATATTTTAGTTTTCTAAGCTCAGATAATCGTCTGAAAACAGCTGCCAGGAAAGAATCATTGTGCGCAATCTCCGCGAAAGTGATGTGTTTTGATTGTTGCGACTTACGTGCGCAAGGCGGCATCAACCTGAGGTGCATGAGAAAAGTATCGTTCAAACTGTTTCAAAAATCTTTCAAAGATCTTTCAAAGTACTTTGAAAGAATTTTGGAACAGGTTTTCATGTTTTTTCGGTGGGAAACGGTGGGTTCCTTGCCGGTTTCTGGGGGGTTCCGCTAGGTTCCGAGTTTGTTCCCGGTGTTTTCTGGTGAACGGAAATTTTTTGGAATAGGGTGGTTCCAGGTACGATGACTTTCCTGTCGGAATACTACCACCCTGCTCCGGTTACTTTTCTGGCCGGCTCCGGCGGGAATAACGCGGGAACCGGTGGGAATTGGGCGGAAAATTCGGTGTTTCCTGCCGGATCCGGAGACGGGAATCATCGACATGGATTTATTTATACATTTGAATGTTGAGAGTAAATGCTTGAAAAACATTTACATTTGAAGATTCTATATTTATTTTTTTTTGGAAAGCAAAATAAATGATAAAAGCAGTATCACCAAAAGAGCAATTAAACATAGCGATAAAATAATTTTAAGAGAACATGAGCTATCTAATAGATTTCGAGTTCTAGTAAACAACATTTGCAATGTTATTTACTATGAAAAAAATACATAAATAGTTTTAGTAATAGATAATATGATGGAATTTAAGATGGACATATTTGAACAATTGCACAACATCCATTATCAGTTGAATTTGTTGTTTTAATATCAATTAAATTTGAATCTTCTGTATTAACATTTGATTCTAATTCACATGTTAATGTAATACTATAACCATTTGGTCTTGGATAAATTGCTGACGGTAAATAAATTAGTGATGGACAGGTAATTGTTAGATCAATTGTATATTTTAATGTGAAACAACGTGTATTATTACGATCATAGAACATTAATAGTGGTTTACCAGCAATAGCATAAGCATAAGGTCGATTAAATTGTGATAGGATATCATATTGAATATGACTCGATTCATTAAGAAAACTCATACCCCATACAGTCCATGATTGAAAATATTGATCACATTTATCCAAAGTAAAATAATTTTGTTGTGCACCAGTATCAGTTCGTCCATCAAATCCAAATTCTGTTAAAAATGATGAACCACCTGTGTGTTCAATATCCTGGTCAACCGTTTGAAATAGCATATTACCTTGTGTATTACATGATGCTTCTGTTGATAATACAGTTAATACATCTTGTGGGATAATTGATAATATCGCTGATATGATACTTTGTAATGCAGCTAATGGGATAAGTGCTAATACCTGTGGTGGGATAATTGATAATAACTCTGGTGGAATAATTGATAATACATTGGATGGGATAATTGATAATACATTTGATGGAATAATTGATGCTGTTGAACAGTACCAATGATAAGATAATACACTTAAATTAGCATATAAATGACCACCAGGAACCGTGTCAAAACCTAAACTGAAGAAAGCCTTAAACTTTTGACACTTAAATTGTTCTTATGTTTCTAGTGTAGATACTTCGAGTGAAAGATGTAGCTTAATAGAAAATACAAAGTACTGTCGCACAATCATTTTTGAATTTACCAGTTTAAGACTTTTATTAAAACAGACATGGGCATATTTCATTATAAAGGATGATGGGAGAATGTTGAGTGAAGAGTATATAAAATCCAGACCCGATGAACTCTAGTTGGGTGCACTTTACATTCAATTTATATTATAAATTTTTAGCAAATTTACAAGAATATTAATTCTGTTGTAAGCATTTTTTCGATCGTATATAGGTTAAGATAGATTTACATAAACAGAAGAATTTGTAACTATACCTGTTCCAAGAAAAGGTCCTTGAAAAAAAACTCCATAAGTTACGGGTTCATAGAATAATAATGATTGAGTATCAACTGTTCTTATAACTTGATTTAATATATTATAAACTGGTAATAAATTTTCACGACCAGCCTTATCAGGTAAAAGTAACAATGGATCTTTATAAAAATCACCAAACCATGGTTCATTAATTAATTCGTAGCCTAATACATTTGAGTATGATCCAAATGTTTGAGCTATTTTAACCCAAAATTTACTCCATGAATCAACTGCCCCACTCTGGTTTTTATATAATTGCTGGAATCCACTTGAACAAATTGATGTAAAATAATTAAGAAACCAATTTCCGCCAGCGTCAAAATTGGGTGGAAATGGACATGGATATTTAACACATGGTTTTAAACCAGTTTGACTTGGACAAGTAAATATATTATTGTCCACACAAGGTTTAAATTTTTTAAATAACCAAAGTGGTATGCCATCATATCCACTAAGGTTATCCAATCCTTTAAGTGCACTTGTTAAAAGATCTTGATGCATATCATGAAATAAATAAATGTTATAATTGTTAGCTAATTCGACAATTTCTTTCAATTTCGATAGATATGTTTCATTATATTGTCCTTCCAGTGGTTCTGCACCAGCCCACATTGTTCCAAGACGAATAACATTAAAACCCCAATCACGAAGATTTGACATATAATTTGGATCAAGTAACGGAGGATCAGGTGCTTGGTAAGGATACCATGGAAAGTATTTTAGAACACCATTAATACCGCGAAATATTCTTACACGACTGCATTTATCAACAATATATTTACCATTGACAGACATCTTTTCTGTCGACATTTCACAATATTTTACATAGTATATTAATATTATCACACAGAGAGCTAAACGGATCTTTGAAATCATCTAAAATAATTGAATATAAACTATTGTCTTTATACCATGTAAAAAATATGGAGCGTATATATGATAGTGTATAATATCCATTAAATAAATATAGTATCGACACAAGAAAATACCATTCTTGTAAAGTCTTCACAACCATTACTTACGTTAACAAAAGTCTTTCGATAATATAGAATAGTCAGAATAAAAACAGAAACAGAGTAACGAACTCTGACGGGTTCCAAAAGACGATTACGACTCGATGATGAACACAATTAAAGCTCTCGACACATTATAAGATCTCTCTCCTTGGACAAACGAAACAAAAAATGTTTAGAAGATTACCCCTTTGAAAATTGATTTTTTTTTTGAATAGTTTCTATAGATTTTTGATTTTTTTAGCATTTATGTACATGTTAATATCTAAGTTTAGTATGGACAATATTTTACTTCCATCGTCTTAGCAGTGTGTCAGCTTTGAATGGGACAACTCATCAGAAAAAGCTAATACGAAAGAGTAGTTAATAAAAAATGTTTTCTGCATTAAAAAACGTGTCCTGAGGTCATTTTAATGCTCCGTTGCAGCATCCTGTGAAGAAACTTGTTAGATTTTTTCTGCGAAAAAATTTGTTCAAACGGTCATAGGACCTAATTAACGCGGTGCACATTCAAACGCGTCACACACGACGAAATCTTTCTGAAATAAGAACATCTTCGCTAAAAACCCATTGTTCATGACTTAATATCTCGTTTCATATGTGCATTTTCTTCTAGAAATTCGGACACATGCTTATCATAAAAGTCTCATTCATAATTGAAAAAAATATATCTCGGATGATACACGATGAGACGTGTTTTATGAAATACCTCTCCTATGTCTGAGAACGCATGTCTTTTCGCATAAAGATGCTAAAGTGTTTGTCGAAACAGGCATAAAAGATCCTAAGAACACTTTCAATGTGTATTCAATCACTCTTTTTCTGTAAATTGCTTTTCCTTAGACAACTGTATGCATTCAAGTGGAACATTTTATTTTGAACCAATTCTATTTATACGAGTCAATCCTCAACGTAAGCAACTAACTTAAATAACTTTGACAGAAAAAGGTTTAATCTTCTTTCTTTAAGTTATTTACGCTCCCGGACAAAAGTGTTTCCCCCTCTGTATTTTCATACTATTATACTTTGCATCAAATTTATTGCCCAGTAAAGATATGACATGAGAGTTTTATTTCAGTGTGAACTATATTGAAATTAAACTCTGATGTTATATCTTTATTGAGTAGATGCAAAGTATGACAATATAAAAACAAAGAAGAGGAAAGACTTTATCCGAGAGTGTAGCTATACAGGGCATAAATATCACCAGTGATAGATCGTATTCTTTATAAGAAATAGTGCTATTATAAATAGCACCAAAATTTTAGGGCATGTTGTCTATACTGTTTGAAGAACACTCTTTTAACTAACGATTGTTGTATTTTGTTTTTTGCATTAAAACATTATCCGTTTCGTTTTCACTGTCCGAGTGTGGAATAAGTAAAATAAACTCGTTTACTTACGGTGTATTGAACAAAAAAAGAGTTGAAATTAGGATTTGTCGTTGAGTTTACCAAAAGACTTTGACTTTTTTAGGGACATAATAGAAGACTCCTTTGTAACTTGTGAGCGATGAGACAAAATAGAAGACACCGGGTCTTCTGATGTGTCGAGGGCTTTATATGTCCTCTTGAGTAATCACCAAGAACGAAAATAAAATGTCAAGAAAGTCTATTAGAAGAGATTTGTTTTTATATTACTACTTGTTACAGCAGTCATTCATGCATGATGATGATTCAGTCAGGGAAAGTTATTTGAGTGATATTCATTTCTTTTTTTTTATGAAAGCAGAAAATCAAGGCAATATGTCCTCATATTTATTGAATAATTAACCATGGATAATGATGTTGAAACGAGAGAAAGGCAACGATGATTGATATTTCTCTCCTCTCTCTATCATCCAAAGTAAAAAACAGGTAGCGAGTAATATCAAAACAACAAAAAGGTTGAGTGTGACTATGTTGAGAAGATAGGTGAATCAAGAGATGGAATAATGTTAAAAAAACAGCTATAATGAGGAAAGAAAACAAATGAAATGAATCAAACAATTTAAAATGGTCTCTGGTATAATTTTGTGAAACACGATTGTAAATGAGTGTTGATCCATATAGTGAGAAATCTACACCCATCCTTTTCAAGACAGATAGGAAATGGGAAATATTACAAATGATCTGAATACTTGAGTTCATATCCTGTTGGGATGGTCCATTTTTTTCTAATGAAACTGAATTCTCTATATAACGGAGTGGGTGGGTGTGGGTGTGGGTATGATTGGATTAAATGAATGCTCACACCCACACCCTATTAATTAATTTGAATCAACTTCAGTTATTTATACTTAATTTAAATTAATTTAAATCTGACTTAAATTAATATAGATGACATCAAAATAATTTTTAATTTGTTTTAATTTATATTTTATGTAATTTTAATTACGTTTAAATTAGATTAAAAAACTATTAAGTTCATTTAGATTATTTTTAAATTAATTTAAATAACCTGTAACTCAAGTTAAATTACTTGTAAACTAACTTAAGTACAGTTTAAATTTTTCAGTTGTCTCCAGGAGAAAACGCAACGTTTCAACTTGAAAGAGTGCTACCACGTTTATGTTTATCATTATTTTAATATCATTAGAAAATAACAAGAACGAAGGATACCTCTTCTATGAGAAATTTTTTATTCCGATAATCGAATTTTAACATTTCATACCAGTTTCTTTCCTTATTTCTTATGTATTTTACTTTTCGGATTCACGTGCTTCCACAATAGGGATGATCAATTTGCATTTAAAAAATTAATTAAATCCAGAACTTCTAAAAAATTTTAATTGATTTTAACTTTAAAAAAATTAACTTAATGGGAAAAGGCGACTTCTAATTTTCGCGGAAGCTGTTATATGCAAGTTGAGTGACGTATTTGTCTTGAATGAGAATTTACTAAGAAATAAATTTTAAAAAAGAAACATCTAATTCATCTTATTGAAAATCTCCATTGGGTAGTATTATGGTCTGATTTTAAGTCTGATATCAATAACTCAAGCTGGTCTTGATCAATTCAGAAGAAAAACTTAGTAGTATGTTATTATATCCATAAAAGTTTCTGATGAGCTTTTCAGAACTGCACTTCAACATAAAGATATGATAGAACTATTGGAAAGCTCACCATAGTACAGGTTATCCCTGAATGAACTTCAGGTGTTATATAACGAGCTTCACATCAAAGAAATTTGGCATATATGGTTGCATTTAAAGCTAAAAATAGTAAGAATATATGATTCGAACTCGAAACAGCAAAGAAACATTCTCCTAGATGGAATTTCAATTACACTTGTTCCTTAGATTATAAACATTGTGCCTAATCTAAAGCACCTCTTCATTACGAACTATTTGACTGTGAAATAATTTTTGATGCTCTGATAAAATTTTTGCTACATGGATGATCCCATGGCTTTACATCATCTACGATGTTCTCACTTAAAAATAGTATTTCCTCATAACTAAATGTAAAATGACTAGCAGAGAAGAGCATTATGTACATAGAAGCAATGTTTATTGTTTGTTGAACAAGTGTAAATGAAATGCAATCTAATAAAATGTTTGTTTGCTGTTTCGACTTCGAATGATTTATTCTTAATTCTTTTATTTGTAACGACAGCCGTGTATACCAATTTTTTACGTTCGAAGCTCATAGCATAATAAAATAATTTCATCGATTGACAAGCTGTGATGTAGTCAACATCTATTACTGAAATAAACTGTACTTTCAAAAGATATACACTTACTCCTTGAGTTTGTGGAGAATCGTATGTGTCCAACAACAGAGTAGCAGTTACATATGGTCGTTGTTTTATGAATGAAAGCAAAGCAATATACTGCACC